ATTTGACATAGAGATAAGTGAAGCACACAGAACTCCAATTGGCCATGATCAAAAAACAAAGGGCCAGGGATTTAGCTCAATGGTTCCACTGCCTGCCTTGCAAGCACAAGGTCTGAGTTCAATCCCCAGTACCAAAAATAAACAAAAACAACAAAACTATATCAAAGCATGTAATAGTCAAGATTACAGAAATTCAAAACAAGAACAGAATATTAAAAGCTGTTAGAAAAGAGAAACAAAGTAGACATTTAAAAATATAAAGTGAGTCTGTCATTTAAAAAAATAACTACTTTTTGCCAATGATATATTTTGAGATTTAAAAAGTTAGAAGTGTGGAAAAACTGGACCTTCTACCATTAAGTTTGAAAATTTCCCAATACTGGTACTGATCCTTTCATTTAAAAAAAATATATATATATATTGTATATACACATTTATTCTATTTATTTCACTTAAGGCCTCAATATGCAACCATTTAGCTACATCTCCAGTTTCTCATTCTCTATGGCTGAGTAGTACTCCATTTTATAGAAAAACCACATCTTCTTTATCCAGTCTCCAGTTGATGGGCAACTGGGCTGTTTCCAAGTTTTAGCTATTACAAAATGTGCTGCTATAGACATGGGTGTGCATATATATATCACTGTGGTATGATTCTTTTAATTCTTTTGGAAAGATACCCAGCAGAGGGATAGCTGGGTCAAATGGAACCTCTAATCCTAGTTTTTTGAGGTATCTCCATATTGATTTCCACAGTGGTTACACCAGTCTGCACTCCCACCAACAGTTGGAGAAGGGCTCCTTGGTTCCTTTCTCCCCACAACTCTGTCAGGATTTGTTATTGATTAATTTCTTGATAGCAGCCATTCTTTCTGGGGTGAGATGGAATCTCAGCATTGTTTTCAATTGCATCTCTCTAATGACCAGTGATGTTGAATGTTTATTTGCTGCTTTTACTTGTTTGTCTGAGAAATGTCTGTTCATTTCAGATTCCCATTTTTGAACTGGGTCTTTATTATTTGGGGGATCTGATTTTTTGTGTTCTTTAAATATTTTAGATAGTAGGCCTTTGTCTGAGGAACAGGTGGTAAAATTTTTTTCCCACATTGTAGGTTGTGTCTTAGCTGTTGGTGGTTTCTCATGCAGTGCAGAAGCTTTTTAATAAGATGAGATCCCAGGTGTTGATTCTTTGTGCTAGCTCCTGTGCTACTGAGGATTTGTACATAGTCTTTTCCTATGCCAATGTCTTTGAGAGTTCTACCTAACTTATCTTTCAGCAAGTTTAGTGTTTCTGTTTAATATTTAGATTTTTAATCCACTTTGATTTTAGTGGATACACATAAATAGGACACATGTATAAATACTGAACAGTTTCTCTGCTGTGAAAAACTAAAAGTGTAAATAAGGTTCAAATTTTACAACTGATAATGTGAAATAGGAAGAAAGGGCATAAAGGAGTAGAGAAAGTGGGAAGGCCAGGAGAAAGAAGGGAAAAGAAAAAATACGAGAAAAGGAAAAAATGGAAACTAAGTCTTTATAAATAGGAAAGGGTGGAGGAGCTGCAGGGAGGGTAGGGATATGAGGAAAAAAGAAGAACCAAGATACATCATGTAAAGGTACAAGATCCCAATAATGAAGGTAATTCTATTGAATACCTAAAAAGTACCAATAAACTTAATGAAAAAAAATTATATAATAAAATGTGTCAGCATTTGGAAGAGGTTAATAGTTCAGTGGAACACACCTTCCAAGTGACAAAGGTATAATGTTACAAAGTCAAATGTGAGAAAAAGGTCCATTCAAGATACAAGATAAGACTGACAGATTTTTAATGTAAACAGTGCACAAAGTTTATAGGATATTTGACTGTTAAAAAAAATGAACTTTTAAGAAATTACCTAAAAAAAAAAAAAAAAAAAGAAAAAAGAAATTATCACTCTTGTTTTGATGTAGCACTGAAAAATCACCACGATTATCTGAAAAGATTTTAAATATTTCAACTAAAACAATACGATGCAATTGGATACAAAGGCAGAAATGAGCCCTGGTATCACTGTACTGTACACCTAAAATGTACCAATAAACTCAATGAGGAAAAAAAAATTAAAGATTTGTAAAAATGAATCAGTGCAACGCTGCTTACAAAATTTTTGTTTTTAAAATACTTTTCATAAAAAAGTATTGAACATGTAATAGGTTTATTTTAAATTAATAAATGCTTCAAGTTTTGTTTTAATATTTAATCTAGTATCACTAGATACTAATCACATAAACAAAGGGTTTAAAACTTCATAATTATTAAGAGTAGAAAGGGGTTTTAAGACCAGATATTCTAAGTGAGATTAAGAGGTTGCATTAATTTCCTAGGTCTGCTATAAAAAAATCACTTCAGTCTGACAACATAAGTTAATTATCTCTCATATTCTGGAATCTAGAACTTAAAGTTAAATTGCAAGTAGAGGCACGAACTTATTAAAAATGTAGGAGAAACGTGTTCCATGCTTCTGTCTCAGTTTCTGGGAATCTTTAGAATTCTTTGGTTTGACCTAATTCCAATCTCTTCTCACTTGGCCCTGGAATAGGATCTCCCTTAGAGTTCCTTGTGGGGGGTCTCTCATTATGTCTCTTCTCTTACTGCAAGGATACCACTCAGAGTGGATTAAGATCCACCCTGTTCCAAAAGGACTTCAACTTGAGTTATTTCTATAGACTTTATGTCTAAATAATGTCTCATTTACCAATACCTGGGGTTAGAACTTCAAAATATCTTTTTGAGGAACACAGTTCAAGTTTTAACTGAGGTATTTTAAGGAAAAAACAATCAACCAGCACTAACTATAAGATGTGAGAAGTTGTATCACATAAGGATTCATTTGAGATAGAGCTTAATAATCAGCTTTGTTATTAACAATGATTATAATTATACTAATATATGGCTATAATAATAGAACTAAAAGGTCTATATTTTAGCAAAATCAAATATTGAGTAAAATGTAAATAAATGCTAGATTTTATTTCAATTTGAAAATATCTTTAGATGGAATGCAATGCACATGCATTATATATATATATATATGTATATATATATGTA